GGGGAGCCTGCTTCTCCCTCTCCCTCTGCCTGCCTCTCTGCCTACTTGTTCTCTCTCTGTATCTCTCTGCCAAATAAATAAATAAAATCTTTTTAAAAAATTAAAAAAAAAACAAATATCAGATTAAAAAAAAAGAAAAAACAAGGTTGAAAAGGAGCCAACATCTCTTCAGGGTTGACCACATGCCAGGTACTCTATATTTCCCCATCTCATTATTCCTCACAACCCCATTCTGCCCTCCAGATGGATACAGTCTCATTTTATCAGAGGGAGCTAGCTCTGAAATTCAGGTAAAATCGCTCTCACTGTAAAGGGCGCAGCTGGGAAAGAAGCCCTGCCCTTTCGGGCTCCCAGGCCCTCCTGTGAACAAACACAGCAGGAGACCACGTGACCTCAGGCAGGCAGGAGCAGAGACTCCACAGCAGACTCAGCTGGACCAGGCCGGTGGTCTGCCCGTAGATGTCTGCTGCCGGCATCAAAGTCTCCCAACACTTTATGAAAATATCCAACTTCCAGGCTCCAGCCCCAAAGGTACAGAGTCAGAAGGTCCGGGTAAAGTCTGGGAATCTGCACTTTGCGGGTGAATAAAAGGTACTTCAAGACTTCAGAAATCACTGGGCTGAGATGGAGGTTAGCTGTGTCTCCTCCTGAAGAAAACGCACATCTAGCCAGTTACTCAAACTCGAAAGCGGGTAAATCTTAGATTCTGCACCCAACTCTAAAATCTGCCCCCCACAATTCCTGAATGTTGCAAATAGAGAGAAAAACAGTTTGAGATACGAGTTAGTATACAAGTTGGTAAAACAAGAGCTGTACAAAGAAAGGCAAATAGGGCTCTAAAGGAACTTATAACAAAAGTGGGGAAAAGGGCGCCTGGGTGGCTCAGGTGGTTGGGCGACTGCCTTCGGCTCAGGTCATGATCCTGGAGTCCCGGGATCGAGTCCCGCATCGGGCTCCCTGCTCGGCGGGGAGTCTGCTTCTCGCTCTGACCCTCCTCCCTCTCAGGCTCTCTCTCATTCTCTCTCTCACAAATAAATAAAATCTTAGAAAAAGAAAGTGGGAAAAATACTGCTTGAAAAGATAACAATACAGTATATATCATGCACTATTTAAAGTCTAGAAAAATGGTGTGGGGTGGAGCAGTGTCCAGAACTTCTAGGACGTCCCCTCTTCCTTCCTGTTTGCTCACATGCTACCAGATGGAAAGAGAAAGAAAGAGAAGTAGAAATGGGGATTCTCTCTGGCCTTTGCTTTGGGAACCCGATTTGAGGACGGGAAGACAATGGCTTTCACTGCAGTAGGAGAACTGCAGGAAAGTCAAGCATGGGCTCTGCAATCACACAGATCTGGATTTCTGTCCCCATTCCATCACGTGCTTTCTGTGTGACCTTAGACCCTGTCTGAGCTCAGTTCTTCACCTGTTAATATAGGGATAATTAATACTCACCTTCAATGCACCAGGTTAACTCCTTCCAAACTGCATCACCTAGACTCCCTTTACTGGCTTGTGTTTGGGTTTGGCCAAGGGAAGGTCCAAAAGGAGACACCAGGAGCCGCCTCGGGACTTGCTCCCCGCGCCCCTATCCCTATTCCCCCTAACTGGGGCCACATTTCTGAGCGTGCTTTCATCTGGCCAAGCCTACAATTTCTGTTGAACAGCTCTTCCTCTACAGTTCTAGCTATCGTTGGCACCTGGTAACACAACTGCCTCCCTTGGCCCCTTCAGCCTAAGGGTAACAGCCACTCCCTGTGGTTGCTAGTCTTTGGCCCCTCAGTCTCTTGTCGGTTCCCTGAAAGCCACCCACACCACTATGAAGAGTCACATCACGTAAGTCCCCTGAATTACCTGAATGGGATTCCATACTCTCCCAGGACCTGATAGGATTCATCCTCCTTGCTCACAAACTGCTTTCTCTCAAGTGTACCCCATCCTCCCAGTGGCCATTTTTAAGCCTAATGATTCTGTCCATCCTTTCCCCTGACCCAAGCCAAAGCAAAGAGATTTTTCTCCCTGGAAACATGATGATGGAACTGAACTAGAAGGGATCGCTTCTTATATACAGAGGAACTGTAATCCCAAGAGCTGAGAGGTAGCCACACTCTTCCTACTACATGGCCTGAGAAACAGAAGACCAGTCTGAAGAGAGGTAAGAATAAAACGAGGCGTAAAAAGCGGCAGAGATGAGCAAGGGAGAGCCTGAAGAGGACCCTGAATTCCTGGAATAACACTTGTAACCCTCTAAAGTATACTTTTTTCGCTTGAGCGAGTTTGTTGGTTACCTTTCCTAGCAACTGAGTCCTCAACATACACTGTGAGGTTAATTTCAACTGCTTCCGGGATGCCTCGGTGGTTCAGTTGGTTAAGTGTCTGCCTTCGGCTCAGGTCATGATCCCAGGGTCCTGGGATCGAGCCCCACATCAGGCTCCCTGCTCACTGGGGAGTCTGCTTCTCCCTCTGCCTGCCGCGCTCCCCGCTTGTGTGTGCACTCCCTCTCTCTGTTGCTCTCTCCCTCTGACAAATAAATAAAATCTTTAAAAAATAATAATTTCAACTGTTTCTAACTACTACCAAACCAAGATGAAATATCCCTGAAAGTTAAGGAATCAAAGGCTGAAAGGAAAGGGATGACAGAAGCTAAAACTGACCATACTGGACCAAAGGTGAAAAGTAAAACAAACAAACAAAAAAACACAAGTAGGTCTACAGATAACAGGCAAGAACAGGATTCTGGTTAGGTATGTATAAGATGCACTGCCCGCACTCAAAGACCAACAAAACAAAAGTTGAGGTGATTTTAGAACTGAGTCAGTGGAGATCCCATGGGAAGCTTAATCACTTGCCTTCTGACCTTTATTCAGATGGTGTCAATTCTGTTTCCCTCCTCCATAAATATAGCAAATTTGTAGCCAACACTAATAGTCCTTAGGAAGAGATTTATTTAAAGTCAGTTACTCTGCGTGGCTCCATGACACACAGAGCAAAGCATTTGTGTGGCCCTAATATTAGGTTCATGGTACTGGTAAGACAGAGGTTTAACTTTAAAAATGAAGAGTGTCCAACTGACCTCCCTTTTAAGACCCACCTTGCTCAATCAATGTCACTGAGTACCTACTAAGCACTGGACACTGGCTAGGTTTTATTTTTTTATTTTTTTATTTTTTTTTTAAAGATTTTATTTATTGGACAGAGAGAGACACAGAGAGAGAGGGAACAGAAGCAGCGGGAGAAGGAGAGGGAGAAGCAGGCTTCCCGCGGAGCAGGGAGCCCGATGTGGGGCTCGATCTCAGGACCCTGAGATCATGACCTGAGCCGAAGGCAGACGCTTAACGACTGAGCCACCCAGGCACCCCACTGGCTAGGTTTTAAAGGTACCAAATAACAGATTATTACCTACCAAGATCCATGAGGAAGAAGTGACTGCACCTCTAAACCCCCTAAGATCAGGCATCTAGCCACCTCCACAACCTGATCTCCCACCACTACCCCCAGCCCATCCTTGTGGCTCCACACTTCCTCCAAGAGCCTTTGGATTCGGCATCTCTTCCTCCTGGAAGGCTCAAGCCTACTTAATTCTTAAGTATGCTGAGAGCTCATTTCAAATACTATTTCCTTAGGGAAGCCTACTCTGACTTCCTGGACTAGACCAGGTCCCTGATTTTTTTTCCTTCACAGCTACCAGTACAATTTTACATACAAACACAAAAATATATCTGTAATTTCTGTCTCTTCCTTCTAGCATGGGAGCTATATAAGGGCAGCCTCCTTCCCATCCCTTGAGTCTAGCTTAGTTCTAGGTTGAATGAATGAATACGGAGTCCTGAAAATATACACAGGAAGGACACGACATGGATTTAAGGGAGCAATTCCGCCTCCTTAGGGAAGCCTTCAGAGCATCACAGCCCCCAAAATTGTATAGCTCCTTTGACCTCCACTAACTATGCCACTCCCTTAGCATATATGTTATATTCCGTTGCCTTTACTTTATTCATCTTTGAAATAATAAAGGAATCAATGGCTGACGGAAAGGGGACGCCAGAAGCTGAATTTGACCATACTGGACTGAATGTGAAAAGTAAAATGCAAAATGATTAGGTCTCTACAGCCAAGTTCAGGATTCTCATTAGGCTTTACCGAGACGTCTGGGGATGTCTCTAACCTGGGCAGGTTACAAATCTCTAACCTGGAAAGGACACACTTGGCTTTCCTTGGTAGCTCATTACACCCAACATTCTCCCAACTCTCGCTCTGAAGTGGTCTTGACTCCAGGGACTTAAAACTGACCACAGAAGATCTAAATACAGTTACAGCTGCCTCTAAGGATCTTAGAACTAAATGCCACTGGCTGTAGAGCCGCTTTTTAAACATTCTTCCCCCTTTATTTGTAAGGAAATTTATATTTTTCAAAGCGCTTTCACCTCACTCCCTTCTCTCCCTGTGCTTCCCAACCACGAGGTAAGGAAGAGCGGGCCAGAAGCCTACCGCCAACCCCCGTTTCGTAGCAGAGAAAAGCGAGGCTCAGCCCAGTGATGCGACTCCCGAAGGCCCTGAGGGCGGTGCTCCCTCGCTAAGAAGCGGCCTCAGGGACTGCCTTTCCACCCAGGTTTGGAACCTTGTAGACGCGGAAGGCTTCAAGTACACACACAGTCCTAAGTGGACCCTCGCCGTGGGGTCCTAAATACACACGCTTTGCCGGCTTCGTACTGCAAACGCCGGCCGCAGGGCTGTCTAATCACCAGGTAAACCCAGCACGCCGCCTGGCCGCCTCCTCCCGAGCGAACCGAGGGCGCGCCGCCACCCGCAGCGCCAGGGGGACCCGGTGGCTGACGCCGCGGCGTAGCTACCTGAACGCCGTGCACGATATACACCTTCTCCGCCTCACTCAGCGCCACGGACGCCATGCTGCCGAGCCGGCCCGCTCGTCGACGTCATCTGCGCGCGTCGCCCCCGCGCCGGCCGCGCCCCCCTCCCACGCGCCCGTGCGTCATCAGCCTGCGCGGCGGCCGCTCCTGCAGCCACCGCTGCTGCCGCCACCGCCGGCAGCTCGATGGGCTTCTCCTGTGCGCCGCCCGGTGTCTGGACGAGTCCGGGAAGCCGCGGCGCCTCGTGCCGGGGAGCCATCGCTGCAGCCCGAGGTCGGGTCCCGGGTCGGGGGCTGCAGGGGGAGGCGACGGCGGCGGCGAAGGGAGCCCCACCGGGGGCCTGGCACTGGGGAACTGCCTCCGGCTTCACGGTCAGTTGGGAGGGGGAACTGGGGTTGAGTGAAGAGGCTGGGGTGAGGCCAGAGGCGCGGGCCGGGGCCGGAGCTTAGGACTTGCAGTGGCAGAGGCGCGCGTCGCAGTTTGCTCAGAGCTGGAGTTGAAGTAGCAGAGCGTGTGTGTGTGTGTGTGTGTGTGTGTAAGAGAGAGAGAGAGAGAGAGACCTGAGAAAGAGAGAGACCTGAGAGAGAGAGACCTGAAAGAGACCGACCCCGAGCGAGGAGAGGCGGACGTCAGGGTTGGGCTGAGGGGCTGTCTCCTTGCTCTCCTCCCCTCTTCCCCCCACCCCCCGCCCTCCGTCCCGCATTTCCCTAGTCCCTTAGGGTGGTTGAAAAGAAGAGGCGGTGAAGCCCTCTTTACTTCGTTCTCGGTGGGAAAGGTCCGGGCCGGGAGTGAGTGCCCACTAATCCCGAGGCGTCCTCACTCCACCCCAAGGATCCCACCCGTGCCCCCTCTCTCTGGGGCTGACCAGACGCTGACCCAGAACCTTGCAGGATCCCCCTTGCCCCAAGTGGTCGCTGGAGCATTGTCCCAAAGAGAGGAGGGGGCAGAGTCTTGGTAACTGGCGCTGGCGAGGGCCACAGTGCCCAGGGTCCCCAGCCCTTCCCAGCAATGGCAGGAAGCGTGGGGTGGGGGGGGGGGGGGGGGGGGGGGGGGGGGGGGGGGGGGGGGGGGGGGGGGGAGGCGAGGGGAGCCAGCCCTGGCGGTGGCCAAGTGGGAGTAGGGCCTTGGATATCCAGAATGGATACCTGCAAGGTGAATATAGGGTCACTGAAGGAGCCCATTAAGGTGAGGCAAGATAGGGTATGGTACAGATTTTAAAGAGGTCATGTGGATAAATGGGGGAAAGTTAACCCAAAGTGATTGAAGCAAGGATCTGATGACTTTTCCAAATGTTCCTCTTTTAAGGAGCCTTCCTGTTCTCAAAAAGTGAAAATACAGTAACCCTTGACAGCTTGATCATCTAACAAATGTATTTCTCAGCTAGTAGCTTCCATACTGTCTCATAGGTAACTATTGAGAGCTTACCATGGATGGGCTTTGTGCCAGCTTTGGAACACTAAAACAAATAAAACACAACTTCTGCCCAGAGAAGCTTCACAGGCAGAGGGAAAGGCTCTAGGGTCAACATAACCACAGAACATGGTTAAGAACTACGATGATGGCACCATGAACATAGTGGGGTTAGGGAGGTGGGCCAGAGGAGGGTACAGGGAAGAAGTACCTGCCCATATTCTTAAGCCCAAAATAAATGATCACTTCCTAGTAGACTGGACATCAGTTGTTTCTTGTCTCCATAGTTCTCTTATGGGTGTGCGTACAGGGTTGGACTTTGCCCTCTAGGGAAATTGGGAGAGGAAGCTGGAAGGTTTTTCTTACGAATGAAAGCACAGGTGCCCCACCCGTCATGGTACATAGGAATCTTTGTGTGGTTGGACACCTGGTTTCTATGTGAGGAGCTTTGTGATGAGATAACAAGGGACTGCTGATGTTAGCAATGATATTTTGTTCTAGAGATTACTCAGAAAGTAGAGACCATGAACATGGAATTTTAGTAGCTAGGATATCTAAGAGGATTGAAGATTTAAAAAGTGGCAGCAAATGGACAGATCAGAAAAGACAGAAGAATCTGGGTTGGATACCATGGAGTCATCTTTATGTAAAGATCTTTCAATATGTCTTCGAAAATATAGAACATCTATTTGAACCATTGCCCTGGCAATTGACTAAAGGTTCCTTGCTGGAGAAGAGTTGGCAGTATTTGCTAAATAATATTATGAATGATGTCTGACATGTTAGGCTAAGTAGGTCTGAGAGGTGTAAACAGTGAAATGTTTATTTTAAATTCTCTACTGAAACAATGACACCTTCACTAACCGTTATATTTCAGTGCTGCCAGAACATTTTTTACCATGTTTGTTGTGATAATTTTTAAAACTCAAAAATTCAGAGTTCTTTTTTGGTTATTAAAGCAAGACAAAGAATGCATGTTAGCCAGAAAAATCAAGAAGCCAAGAATAACACCTTAGTCTATAAAACCAGCATGTTTTTCCATCATTGTCAGATTCTTGGCCGGGGCGGGGGGGGGGGGGGGGGAGGGGGCAGGGCATATTGTTTTGTAGGTCTGTCCATTCTGAATCTCTGTACTCTGTTAATTTTATTTAACATTAACTTACATTAACATTAACATAACATAGTGCTCATTAGGTGCCAAGCACTGTTCTAAAGCACTTTACAATGATTAACTGATTTGGTCCTCACAAGAGCCCTATGAGGCAAGTACTATTGTCCCTATTTTACAGACTGGGAAACTGAGGTGCAGAGAGGTTGATTATCTTGATCAAGGTCACAGGTCACATGACTAGAAAGTGCCAGAGCTGGGATTTGAGACCAAGCAATCCAACCCCCATACTTGCCCTCCTAACCATCCTTTATGCAGTCTCCCCACCAGACTATACTTCATTTGCCAAAGTATTTGGTGAAGGAGGCCTATGTTTGTTATGGAATTGTTAACTGCCCTGTAGGCTGTAGTTAGTTTTTATTCCAAAAGCAGGGAGACTATTCAAGCATAAATTCACATCCCTTGAATCCTTATTCTAAAGGAACGTTGAACGTGGTGCTGAAGGGATGCTCCTGTGTCTCTTTCAGCCAACCCTGTTAGATAAGGGGAAAGGTTACATACAGGCCAAGTGGAGCTTAACTCAGAGGAGCTGAGAAGAGCCCTCAACAACAGAGAAGGCTGATGGATTTGGGACTGATGATGGGGCAAGGCATGGAGACCCAGATGCCAACCATGTGCCTTGCTCCCAGAATAGACATCTAGAAGCTCTTCAAACAGGAAGTATTTGTTTGCATGCCTGTGAGTGTCATGTTCTTGTAGACTCAAAGAGATGGGAAACTGAAAACATACCTGCCTAAAAGGAGTTGAGGATTTACTCTAGCTAGAGAGCCCAGGCACTCAACTAGCGCATAAACAAGACAATGAAATAAAGTGCCCAATTGAGCCAGTGTGGTAATTAGACGTGAGGCCAACCTATAATAAGGTGCTAATTGTGCAGGCCAGGTATCAAGGGCGAGAGGTAAAGAGCTGCTGCTAGCCACTAGCAGGCAACAATGACATTACAGAGGTGAAGTAAATCTGTCCCACCTAACCTTGGTTAATTAAAGCAATAAAAGCCAGTTACAGAAGAGCTTGGGGCAATGCTGAATCCATGGTGCTGAAGTTGCAGAGAGCTCTTAAAAGCCCAGCAGGGGAACATCTTCCCAGCCTCAAAGAGAGGTAGTCAAGTACGAGGCCTTTACCTCTGCATTTTCACAATTAGCCCAGCACTGCAGAAAAGCAAAATCGAGTGACTATTTTCCCTATAGATCTGTTTCCTTTAAACACTTTAATTTGTCCTGCCTGTGCCTTGTCTGAAGAAACACTCGATATAAATAACCTGTCAGTCAGGCCGACAGGTCTGTGGCTGTCTTGCTTTTCCAGAAATTACAACTCGTAATTACAGTGGTAGAAAAATTGATAGGACTACGTCGGGTAAAGCTTATTCTCATTTAGAGGAACGGACTTCATGTGTGTTCATTTTGAGAGGGTAGCAGGGTGCTTCTTAGGTCTTTAGGGCATGTGTGAACAAACGGAGGGGGGGTCACATATTCTGATTAGCAAATCTGGAAATACTTAAACACACATACACATGCTAATAGCCCCAGAATCCGAATAGAAGTGGAGGAGTGAGGTCTGGATATTGACCTGCTGGGCGGGGGAGGGAAGCAAATGCCATGCTGCCTCTAGTTTCTTCCTGTTTTTGCATGTTTTTAATCACTTACTTTCCTCTTTGGAAGCAGATTTCCAGAGACAAATGGCCAGGTTATTCCTGGCTCTCAACTGTGAAGTTAAGAAGGCTCCAGTTCCCTGTCCCACCTAATTCAGTTATCCATCCAAGAAATGCCAGGAAATACCAGGAAAACGCCATCTTTTCATAGTCTCCTCCAAACTATAAACCTTTCTGGTATGTAGAAACTTGGCAATTGAACTCTGGATTTTTCTGGGCTACCTGAGACATGAATTTCTCCTGGTCAGGGTCTGTGGAGACGGAATCCCTTTGGGTGGGATAGATATCTCACCTTAGAAAAATAAGCCTAGTGGGACAGATGCAATTCTGGCCACAGTTTGGTTGCCGTAACTTTTGACTTGGCTATGGACAGAGCATATGCTTCTAAACCAAGAAATACCAGCAGAAAATCTAGAAAGCCAAGATGATTAGGAAGAAAATGATCTATCGGTGCAAAGACTACTGGTTGTCTATTCTGGTGATCTGGGCTTTGCCGGAGATAATTTTTTTGTGATTTTGAGCAGGTCTGTTAACCGTTCTAAACCTCATTTTACCCTAAAATGTGTATCTTACCAAGATGGTAAAGCTCAGAACTGATCATGGATATACATATATTTAAACGATGTAAAATGGTCCTACTTCACTTTAAAGATTTCTCTGTCAGCACTTTGTAATATTTGATGCATTTTGGTAGTGCTTTTTCCACTCTGAAAAAAAAAATTAAGCAAATTAACAAAAGGAAATGGTAATTGGTTGAAAAACTGAGCATGCTCAGGAAAATGGCCAACAGTTATTGGTGGATTTCTTTCTGTATAGGAACAAAGAACAGGGACCGGAAGTTAAGGGATGCTTTTGGTAAACATAAAATCCAAGAAATTAACAAAGAAAATATCGAATTTGTTCATGAGAACAGAGGAGTCAGAACCTTAACCCTGCAAGGGATCTTAGCATGCAGCTCAGTCTTCCCTCGTTTTATAGATGAGGCCACTGTCTGGCCAGAAATTGGAGGTAGTGAAGCGTAGGAGTGGGAGTGGAGCTGTGGCCTCCTGACTCCAAGCCCAGTCTGTATTCACTTAGCACTAGCCTCCCTTCTGTCTCCGAAGCCCTCAAGTAAGGAGGCAGGGGCTGTGGACGTGGACAGCCCA